AGTCTTATTAAATTTGTTGTTGAGCTCTTCTGTCTCTCTTTAAACCTGCTCTGTGTTTTACTCCTGCACATACGGGCTGGTAAAATGTAGATGAGCCATATTCATACAGACCCTCCCTCTGTGCAGCACCGTGTGCACATACTGACCTCTATGTTTTCACCTGCACTGCTTTCATTAAACAGTGAGGATGTGTCCGAAAATCTGTCCCAGAAATCAATTAGAAGAAGTGTGTGGTACCTGCTGACACCCTGTTATTGATCATCTGATCAGGATGTTTGATTCAATGTGATTCTTCTTAAAACTCAAATCCAACAGAATAAATGTGATAAAGCATCAGAGCAGGTCAACAGTTCATACATAACACATGTGTGTTTCAGAGCTGAGCCCTGTGCCACACCTGTTCCTGCAGAGCGTACTGTGGTGTCAGGTTACAGCAGTGGTGGAACAGGTACTCAGATCCTGTACTGCAGTAAATGTACTGACACCACCCTGTACAGGTACTGTACAGATACAGGTACAGATACTGTATAGGTACAGATACAGATACTGTATAGGTACAGATACAGGTACAGGTACTGTACAGATACAGGTACAGGTACTGTACAGATACAGGTACAGGTACAGGTACTGTACAGGTACAGGTACTGTACAGATACAGGTACAGGTACTGTATAGGTACAGGTACTGTACAGATACAGATACAGGTACAGGTACTGTATAGGTACAGGTACTGTACATGTACAGATACAGGTACAGATACTGTATAGGTACAGATACAGGTACAGGTACTGTACAGATACAGGTACAGGTACAGGTACAGGTACTGTACAGGTACAGGTACTGTACAGATACAGGTACAGATACTGATACAGATACAGGTACAGGTACTGTATAGGTACAGGTACTGTACAGATACAGATACAGGTACAGATACTGTATAGGTACAGATACAGGTACAGGTACTGTACAGATACAGGTACAGGTACTGTACAGATACAGGTACAGGTACAGGTACTGTACAGGTACAGGTACTGTACAGATACAGGTACAGGTACTGTATAGGTACAGGTACTGTACAGATACAGATACAGGTACAGGTACTGTATAGGTACAGGTACTGTACAGATACAGATACAGGTACAGATACTGTATAGGTACAGATACAGGTACAGGTACTGTACAGATACAGGTACAGGTACTGTACAGATACAGGTACAGGTACAGGTACTGTACAGGTACAGGTACTGTACAGATACAGGTACAGGTACTGTATAGGTACAGGTACTGTACAGATACAGATACAGGTACAGGTACTGTATAGGTACAGGTACTGTACAGATACAGATACAGGTACAGATACTGTATAGGTACAGATACAGGTACAGGTACTGTACAGATACAGGTACAGGTACTGTACAGATACAGGTACAGGTACAGGTACTGTACAGGTACAGGTACTGTACAGATACAGGTACAGGTACTGTATAGGTACAGGTACTGTACAGATACAGATACAGGTACAGGTACTGTATAGGTACAGGTACTGTACATGTACAGATACAGGTACAGATACTGTATAGGTACAGATACAGGTACAGGTACTGTACAGATACAGGTACAGGTACAGGTACAGGTACTGTACAGGTACAGGTACTGTACAGATACAGGTACAGATACTGATACAGATACAGGTACAGGTACTGTATAGGTACAGGTACTGTACAGATACAGATACAGGTACAGATACTGTATAGGTACAGATACAGGTACAGGTACTGTACAGATACAGGTACAGGTACTGTACAGATACAGGTACAGGTACAGGTACTGTACAGGTACAGGTACTGTACAGATACAGGTACAGGTACTGTATAGGTACAGGTACTGTACAGATACAGATACAGGTACAGGTACTGTATAGGTACAGGTACTGTACAGATACAGATACAGGTACAGATACTGTATAGGTACAGATACAGGTACAGGTACTGTACAGATACAGGTACAGGTACTGTACAGATACAGGTACAGGTACAGGTACTGTACAGGTACAGGTACTGTACAGATACAGGTACAGGTACTGTATAGGTACAGGTACTGTACAGATACAGATACAGGTACAGGTACTGTATAGGTACAGGTACTGTACAGATACAGATACAGGTACAGATACTGTATAGGTACAGATACAGGTACAGGTACTGTACAGATACAGGTACAGGTACTGTACAGATACAGGTACAGGTACAGGTACTGTACAGGTACAGGTACTGTACAGATACAGGTACAGGTACTGTATAGGTACAGGTACTGTACAGATACAGATACAGGTACAGGTACTGTATAGGTACAGGTACTGTACATGTACAGATACAGGTACAGATACTGTATAGGTACAGATACAGGTACAGGTACTGTACAGATACAGGTACAGGTACAGGTACAGGTACTGTACAGGTACAGGTACTGTACAGATACAGGTACAGATACTGATACAGATACAGGTACAGGTACTGTATAGGTACAGGTACTGTACAGATACAGATACAGGTACAGATACTGTATAGGTACAGATACAGGTACAGGTACTGTACAGATACAGGTACAGGTACTGTACAGATACAGGTACAGGTACAGGTACTGTACAGGTACAGGTACTGTACAGATACAGGTACAGGTACTGTATAGGTACAGGTACTGTACAGATACAGATACAGGTACAGGTACTGTATAGGTACAGGTACTGTACAGATACAGATACAGGTACAGATACTGTATAGGTACAGATACAGGTACAGGTACTGTACAGATACAGGTACAGGTACTGTACAGATACAGGTACAGGTACAGGTACTGTACAGGTACAGGTACTGTACAGATACAGGTACAGGTACTGTATAGGTACAGGTACTGTACAGATACAGATACAGGTACAGGTACTGTATAGGTACAGGTACTGTACAGATACAGATACAGGTACAGATACTGTATAGGTACAGATACAGGTACAGGTACTGTACAGATACAGGTACAGGTACTGTACAGATACAGGTACAGGTACAGGTACTGTACAGGTACAGGTACTGTACAGATACAGGTACAGGTACTGTATAGGTACAGGTACTGTACAGATACAGATACAGGTACAGGTACTGTATAGGTACAGGTACTGTACATGTACAGATACAGGTACAGATACTGTATAGGTACAGATACAGGTACAGGTACTGTACAGATACAGGTACAGGTACAGGTACAGGTACTGTACAGGTACAGGTACTGTACAGATACAGGTACAGATACTGATACAGATACAGGTACAGGTACTGTATAGGTACAGGTACTGTACAGATACAGATACAGGTACAGATACTGTATAGGTACAGATACAGGTACAGGTACTGTACAGATACAGGTACAGGTACTGTACAGATACAGGTACAGGTACAGGTACTGTACAGGTACAGGTACTGTACAGATACAGGTACAGGTACTGTATAGGTACAGGTACTGTACAGATACAGATACAGGTACAGGTACTGTATAGGTACAGGTACTGTACAGATACAGATACAGGTACAGATACTGTATAGGTACAGATACAGGTACAGGTACTGTACAGATACAGGTACAGGTACTGTACAGATACAGGTACAGGTACAGGTACTGTACAGGTACAGGTACTGTACAGATACAGGTACAGGTACTGTATAGGTACAGGTACTGTACAGATACAGATACAGGTACAGGTACTGTATAGGTACAGGTACTGTACAGATACAGATACAGGTACAGATACTGTATAGGTACAGATACAGGTACAGGTACTGTACAGATACAGGTACAGGTACTGTACAGATACAGGTACAGGTACAGGTACTGTACAGGTACAGGTACTGTACAGATACAGGTACAGGTACTGTATAGGTACAGGTACTGTACAGATACAGATACAGGTACAGGTACTGTATAGGTACAGGTACTGTACAGATACAGATACAGGTACAGATACTGTATAGGTACAGATACAGGTACAGGTACTGTACAGATACAGGTACAGGTACTGTACAGATACAGGTACAGGTACAGGTACTGTACAGGTACAGGTACTGTACAGATACAGGTACAGGTACTGTACAGATACAGGTACAGTAGAGAAACAGATACTGTACAGTACATAGATCTGTACTGTTTCTGTACCTGTATCTGGTTTGTGTTTTTGACAGAGCGTTAAAGCGTGTTCACCAACACTGATGAAACTTTCCATCATCCAGGTGGTGCTTAATGACTGTATATCCTGCTGATAATAATAACATCATCCTTTATGATTGATTAGATTTGTATTAATAATCTGAAGTGATCAAATAAATGTGCTGCAGTAAAAAGTCGTGAGATATGAGACAGGTTTATTTGTGAAGAGAATAAAGTTAGAGCAGTGTTTGACGTGAACATGTGATTTAATAAAAACAGAAGACTTCATTCTTACAGTTACATGTCGTGTACAAGGATAAAGTTACAGAAAATAGAAATACTCAAGTACAAGTATCTCAAAAGTGTCTTGAGTTCAGTAGTTGAGTAAATGTACTTAGTTACTTTGCAGCAGTCTTAATGAGCTGCAGGGTTGAAAGAGTTAATTGTCCTGATCAAACTGAACCAGATGAAACTGTTCATTCAGATTTAAAGTAAAAATCAAAGTGATGATGGCGATGAAGAGACAGACGCCCCCTGTGGCTAACAGCAGAACTACAGCATCTGGTACAGGTTAACTACTGATGACTAAAATCAGACTTATTGATCAGTCAGACGTCACCACTCTGCTCTACGTGTGATTTGAATAAACAGGGCTTGTTACTTTATGCTCTGTCAACATTTGTTCTCAAAGTGTGTGAACCACAGACTCTGTGAAGATGACCACGTGTCTCCACTTTGATCCAAAACTGAAGCCAAAATATCCCAAATACTGCCGCCGCCACCGTCGAGCTGGTGACGTCATTCAGAGTCACAATCTGCGCCGTAGTGAACTGTGCTGGTGTCGAGTTTCCGTCCATACACCCATCTGACCAATCACAAGCAGCACCATAGATAAGGAGCACACTGATTGGCTCACACAGCTGTCAATCATGACCTCACACCCCTTTTCAAAGAGTCAAAGGTTCCACTTGTGTCAGAATAAAAGGAACAGTCACAATATTACACAGATACTGCACACATTCATGTTGTCACCCTCTGCCCGGCATGGACATCGATCTTACCCGTGAGTTCATATAGATACATATTTTTACCTATTACACAGCTTTCTGCAGGTGACTGAAAACATGGAGGGGGCGGGGCTTAGTTTAGCCAGATGTTTGTCTTCAGTTCAGCCGTCATGTCGTCCATCTTTATTCACAGAATATGCTTGAAACTCTGATACAGGAGGTCTGAAGAGTCGCCCCGACTTCCTGAACTCACTACCTCAACTCTTCTTCTTCAGGTTCGTTTCTGTGATGATGTGGAGGAGTTCTTCGCCAGCTGTGGTGAGGAGGAGGAGGACCGGCGGGGCCCCTGGGAGGAGCTGGCCCGGGACCGCTGCAGGTTCCTGCGCCGCTGCCAGGAGGTGGAGACGAGCATCGCCTACTGCCTGCAGCCGCAGCACCGCAGCCTGGTGTACCGCCGCCTCACCTCCCTCCTCTACGTCCAGGACGCCTGAGGACCGTCCGTCCTCAACGTCCAGGACGCCTGAGGACAGTCAGTCCTCTACGTCCAGACGTCCAGGATGCCTGGGGACCGTCCGTCCTCAACGTCCAGGACGCCTGAGGACCGTCCGTCCTCAACGTCCAGACGTCCAGGACGCCTGAGGACCGTCCGTCCTCAACGTCCAGGACGCCTGAGACGTCCTTGTAGTTCAACACCTGTCGTACTGAGGAAATGAAAAGCTGCACTTGTTAAGCAGTGAGACATGACAGAGACTCAGAGGACAGGTGGACGGACTGACTGATGTCTTCTTCCTGTTTGGTGTCTCTGTGGACTGAAACCTGATTCAGGAGTGACTCCTTAAGTAAACCTGATCTGAAGGGCTTCACTCTCTGTTCTCTGAGAGGTCGTCACTGTGTCGTGGTCGGACAGCGTCTCCTTTTTATTTTCAAACAGTTTGTCCTCGGGATCGTCCCGTTCACAGAGACACAGAGACGAGCTGCTGCTTTCATCACAGATAGAAAAAGAAAATGTATTAAATGAATGTTGAGGTTTTTTCACCTTGTCAGGCCTCGAACATCAGCTTCAACAGTCGACACCAGAGAAGATATTTCTCACGTCTGATTCATCTGTAGAATAATTTGGCATGTCATTAATTTATCATGGTAAAATAGTGACAGATAGCTGCTGAGCTCAGCGCCCGTCCTCCAACAGAAACACACAACTGGTTGAAAATCAGCAGAGAGTCTCAGAGTGTAAGACGACATCTTGTTTCCAGGAAATGTTTATTTTTAATTTAGAGAATTTTCTTTGTTTAGAAAGTCTGAAAACAGTGAATCAGTATTAAAGATGTGGACAGATGATCTGCAGCTGGACTCACAGAGATGATCGTTGATGTTTCAGCTGAATCACACTGAGGTTTGTTAGAGTGATTTTAAAGCAGCAGCGTCTCCTGTGTCTCGGTGTAAACTGCTGATCAGCTGTGGGTCAAACTGCAGATGTTTGAGTTTTCTCTTTAAAGCCAAAGATTTAAAGCTCCTGTGAGCGATGGGACGAGAAACTGAAGTTGATCGATTTGCATGAATTGATCTGTTCCTCGACCTGCTCTCACATAATCAATGATAATCAATACACAGTATTCAGCCTCTAATAATCAGTATATGAGTCTCTGGTGTTAAAGTCCCTTTAATGAGTCACCTCCAAGACGTCAGCTGCGTCGCTGACACCTGAAGAAGAAGAAGAGATGAACTGAGTTTATTCTGTCAGACTTCAGCTTTTATTAGAAAACAGACAAAATGATCATTAAATTAAGAACAGAGATTATTAGTTTTATATCCAGTCATCATTCATTTGACTAATAACTAAAGAATCAGTAACAATCAATTCATCACTTTATTCTGAAATTCAGCCACACCCTTCCTCCACAGGTGAACGCGTCACATCGACCGCCACTAACTCTTATTTTATTAATTAATCAGTTCATAGTGATGAATGGGTAAAATGCAGGATGATAACAAACAGATCATCATTAATGCTGATCATTGAAACCTTTCATTCATCTGTTGATCTCAAACTGACCGACTGTCCTCACATCTGCTCTTTATTTAAAAAAGAAAAACTTTATTAAACTGTTGGTTGAGTAAAACTTAAAATCAGCAGAACAAGAATCCAAACAAAGGCTGTGTGAAGGTTGAAATGTCCGAACATTAACGCTGTCACGAACCTTCCTCACACTGTATTTGTGATTCAGTTTCCTGTGATGTCACACAGGTGAAACTTCCTGTTGAAGGATTTAATGAGAAACAGACTGACGTCATGTCGCAGGTGAAGCTTGTGCCACTGATGATGATGGTGATGGTGATGATGTCAGTTATTAATGCTGAGTCAGTATTTGTTCTGTTGTCATCATGGCGATGGACTTTCATTATACAGGAAGTTAAAAACAGACTCAGAGTCTATTAAGTGTGTGCGTGTTGTCAAACACAGGAAACGTGTGATGGCTGTTTGGTGTTTGTTTCTGTCAGCTGACTAATAATCAATAATCAGAAGGGAAAGCTGGGGGGGGGGGGGGGGGCAGGATGAACCTTTGGTGTTCTTTTAGTCAGAAAATGCTTTTTATTTTTCTAATGCATTGTTTGTTTGGTGGGTAACACGTTCTGCTTCTTCATTTCCTCAACTGAATATTAAATATTAAATCAATATTTAATGAGCACACGCTGCGTCCTGCTGCTTCTTCACTGACTCTGATGGCCGAACACGAACACAACAAACATTTTGACATGTTGTTGGTGATAATGTGGCTGCTGTTATGTCACTAACAGATGATCAGCAGGGGGAGCTGCTGACACCTACAGGACAGGTGAGTTATTGCACACAGGTGATCACAAGCCCCCTTTGACACACAGATGGTGCAAAAGAGCCGCTACGACGTCCCGTCTGTACGCCTGCTTCACGCAGAGCCAAACGACAGCAGCAACATGTCGCTCTGCTGTGTGATGTTTGACAGTGACATGTAACACAACAGGTGTCGGCCTCTAGTGTGACATATAACATACGTGTCAGCTACTCTTCATAAACAATAACAATGACATCACGTCAGTAACAATCGTTTCGCATCTCGTCCTCTGCTCGGGCGTTAAGGAGCTCCTGGACCTCGCATTTGTCTCCGTATGAGCCTCGTTTCCACCCAGCAGTTCGCAGTTTCTGTCTCCTCAGTAAAAGTTGTGGATGGTACCAACAGAAGCGTTCCTTACCGTCCCCATGTTTGGTCCCCCCTCTGTTGGGGTACCTAGCACACAGATCTGGTACTAAAAGGTGGAGCTAGAAACCCTGCAGTCTGATTGGTCAGTAGAGGACGCTCACTCTGGTTTTATGTAACCTCTGTTCATACATCAGTAAACTACAGCTATAAAATGAAAGAGAAAAAAATAACTTCATTCACTGGGCCGACTGCCGGCAACTTTTAAGGTGGAACACTAAACCCCTGAGCTTGCCTGAGAAGGACTAAATGCACAAAGCTGCTATTTTTAAATATCCCATGGAGAGAGACTCTCACTGCAGCCTGTTCTATTTTGTTGTGAAAATGTGGGCGTGCAGCCTCGTTCTGTGGACGATAAACCAGGTGCAGACTTCCATCTGTGTCACCGCTGATGAGGAAATACAGCGAGTGCTGGACGGAGCAGTGAGTGACAACAACCCCGCCCACATTTAAGAGGACTGTCTGAACACACCGAGGTTCTAGGTACCATGTCTGAAGGCTTACTGCTGGTTCCAAAGGTACTGGACTGAAAGGGTTTGGTGGAGACGAGGCTAATGTGAACATTTTCAGCTGCTGTTCTTCTTTGAGTTAGCTGCTAACTACTAACAGCTACCTTTCAATTTCCTGGCAGTGCGTCACACCAGTTTTCAGAAATAAAAACTGGGGACGTTTCCAGTTCAGCAGTGAATATATCCTTAAAATATCCAATGTTATTATCTAAGTAATAAAAACAGTTTCATTTGAGCGTGTTAACTGTTGCGCTTTAACAAACTGTGTTAAATTATATAAAGGTACAAAACTGTTGTAAATATCAAAACTATAACTATAGTCTTACTTTTTTATAAAATGCTCAAATATGTCAAATTGCTTGGACACCTCCCCGTAATGAACCTGTATGTAATGAAACTCAACATTGAATATGTTAAATGAATGAAATTGACACTTAATAGAATAACGCATTATTATAAAACATTGTACACTTATCTACACTAGTTAAAGAACCTCCATTAAATGTGCAATTTAAATGTGAAAAGTCTGATTGACTGACCATCAGCTGTGTGTATGTGGAGAAGGAGAGGTGCGGAGCTGTGGAAACATCCTGCAGTCCAACAAATCCAACAAATAAGCAACTCCACTTTAGAAACGAGCCCAAAAACACAACCCGTGGCTACCAATATTTGTAAGCGACTTTACAGAAAAACAAGTTGCTGTGTGTGCTTGTGAATACCCGCCCTACTCTGCCTCTGATTGGTTTATGATGAAATTTTACTCTCCCTAAACCAATCATCATCACTTACTGACATTCACATCAGAAGCTTCCAAAGAGGCAAAGTCTGTCGCGGACGCCCAAGAAGCATGGGTGTCAAAAATATTTGTGGCAGCTTTGGTCGCTCTAGTCGCTCATCACGTGAATCACTGAACGTTCAGTCGTGCTTGTCACTTTAAAGGAGCCACAAAGCGACTACTGGCTGAAAGCAACGTAGTTGCTGCTTATTGTTGTCCAGTCAAAAAGCTCATAGTTGGCCTCCAGAAAGTTATGTTTGGTCAATGAAAACAGAAAACGCATGTCATCAAACCAAGCAAGGAAGACTTGCATGCTACGTCTCAACATTAGCCTGCAGTTCTCTCCTCTATTACGAACATTACACACTTTAAAACTCATCAGACCAACGACCTCCGCGACGCCGTCCCAAGCCTCATTCTTTTCATTTTGGTCTCTCTAACTGAACAGCGACACATTATAAAGGACTGAGCTGGCACCAGCACAAGTAATAAACTTCTCGATATCCATTGTGGGAACAAGTGTGCTGTACAAACCAAAGTTACATGGCTTGTTCTCTGGGACCCGCTTCATCGAAGCACGTCAGCATTCTGATTGGTTGTCACCGAACCGCGTCAGAGCTCATTACCATAAAGTTAAACGAGTTTGAACTCCCCTCCAGACCACTCCGGTCGCTTTGGTCGCCCAAGACGTGCGGCTGACGACCAGATCGGGGCCGAGGCCGTTGCTCCCGTTAGCTCACAGGACGCATGTTAGCAGTGTCTCAGTTCTTCCTCTGCAGTTTGTGCGTTAACAAATATTAAAAATAAAGAGAGACTGTTTCAACATTCGCAGCCCATTATTAATGTCAGCGTTCCCATAGTCAGTAAAGTCATGAAACAGTTTTCCAGGCCTGGAAATGGTTTGGAATTAACAGGATGTTTTGGAAAACTCTTGAATTTACGTTGTTTTAGCTGCCGTTTAAAAAATGTCATTAAAACCCCAAAACATTGGAAATTACACGAAATATGATTCTTGTGCGAATCATTTCAAATGTGGTGCGGCGCTGCGTGACCGGTAAAATGTCACACGTATCACATGATACACAGACCAGACCAACATCACGTCACTGCCAAGGCCACGCCCACTTTTTGGGGAAAGAAATGTGGCGTTACATCAAGAGAGAAACGCTCAGATGGAAAAACAATTTGGCGTCTCTAAAATATTTCAGATGAAATAACTGCAGACATCAGTTGTGATCCAGACACGTCAGGCTGCATCAACATCTACAGGATCTTCTGTTTTCTGTCCCTTAAAAGGGGAGTGGCCTTGGCGTTTAGCCAAGCGACAGCATGTGGCAATATGGTGTGTTGACGTATGCAACTAGTTGGCGGCAGGAATGTCTAACGAGTGAGTAAAGTCAGCAGGTGCTCATCTGTACGTCTGAGAAGAGCTGGGTTAATAACGTACGGCTGCGTGGTGACGGATGCCGACACGTTAGTCGTGGTGATGGCGTCAGATGTTGTGGAAAAGTTTGAATGTGGGAGCCGTGAACTCTGACAGCTAATGTTCCTTCTAACATGCAAACGAGACACGTGTTCACAGACAGGTGTGTTTGTTTCTTCAGGTGGCTCCGCCTCAGTTCAGTGTTCTCAGTTCTCCGTCAGATTCTCCTCCACAGTCCTGTCTAGGAGGCGAGGTGTTGGCTCCGCCCTCCTCCAGCTCCACCAGGCCCTGCAGGTATTTGATGTACCTGATGGCGGCTCTGAGCGTCTCCACCTTGCTGAGGCGCTTGTCGGCGCTCTGACCTGGCAGGTGGTCCCTCAGTTTGGCGTAACCCTGGTTCACGCACCTCACCCTCTGACGCTCCCGCTCGTTACGCTTCTGGATGAATGCCGGCTCAAAGGGACACTCGTAGACGCTGAAGTGTCCATGGTGGTGGAAGGGGGCCAGGTAGGGCAGGAGCCCGGGGCCCCTCAGAGGGTCCATTCCAGACGGGTAGAGGAGGAAGGGCACGGGGCCCGACAGAGAGCGCTGAGAGACGCTGCGATCCTCACGGTGAGCAGCAGGGGGAGACACGCCGAAGCTCAGGTAAGATGATGGAGAGAAGGTGGAGCTCATCATGTGACCTCTCAACACAACACACACCTGTAAACACACACCTGTAAACACAACACACACCTGTAAACACAACATAAACCTGTAAACACAATACACACCTGTAAACACAATACACACCTGTCAACACAATATACACCTGTCAACACAACACACACCTGTAAACACAACACACACCTGTCAACACAACACACACCTGTCAACACAACACACACCTGTAAACACAACACACACCTGTAAACACACACCTGTAAACACAACACACACCTGTAAACACACCTGTAAACACAATACACACCTGTAAACACACACCTGTCAACACATCACACACACCTGTAAACACAACGCAGACTTCAGTGAAGCTTCATCCTGTTGACCTACAGAGACACAAACAGACATGAGAGAGTATACACACACACAACAACACACAACAACACACACACACACACAACAACACACACACACACGCACACACTGATGATGTTTTATTTATGTTTATGTTTTGTACACGTGTCACAGAGGGTTTGAACCTGTGACACAGTTCCTGATGTATTTTGAATATTTTCGTTTAACTTTCTCGAGGAGTTAACAAATTAAACATTTTTAAATCGTTAGAAAACGAGGACTATTAAAACTAATGTTTCTATTTTTTTAAACTCTCTGTGGCGGCCATTTTGTTTTTTTAAATGTAGTGAATGTTCAAAACACCTTTTTTAAATGTCAGGTTCAGTTCAGCAGGTTTTTACTGTCAGTGACTAAACTTCCCTTTTAGTTATTCAGATATTCACAGGAACTAAGAACAAGCACTTTGATATGAAGGAATTGAATTTGGTGGTCAAAGGTCAAAGGTTACTGTGACCTCATAAAACATCTTTTTGTCTGTAACTCAAGAATTCATATGCTGACATTTTACACAGATGTCTGATAGGATGAAATCATGACGCTGTCTGTCCACATCACTTATTGTGTTTAACATCTGCTCAGTATGTCAACCAGGTGCTGACATTCTAAAGCTAACTGCTAATGCTATGTAGCTAGTTTTCCAGTGTGGTAATAAGAGAAACAATAACAAGAG